TGGCAAAGTGCTCTGGCCGCATCAATGTTCTCAAGAGTGGCAAATATTTGAGGTTGGCCTAGGACCAGGCAGTGTTTCGTTCTATTGTGCATAGGGCATCTATGAGTCAGTACCAACTTGAAGGCAGCTAACAACAACACTACAAGGTGTTGCATATATAGAGAGTCATTAGAAAATGCTTTTTTTAAAAAACAACAACAACAACAACAAAAACTTTCATTTGTGTATATCCTATTCATGTTGGATTTTCTGAGAAATACTAAGTTATAGAACAGTAATAAGTGTGTCCTGGAAATTTTCATGAAAAATACACTAGCTTAGGTTAGATCTCATTTTATCACAGACATTTATAAAATTTAAAGTTAAATTTTTTTGCATTAGAAACATAAAACTATTCTCTGGTATTAAGAAAAGAATGCTATAGCTTTTAATTGCACAATTGATATAAATTTATATTCTATTTAATAGTGCCATGCCATTGCCATCTAGTCAATTTCAATTCTTAGAGACCTTGTAAAACACAGTAGAATTGCCCCATTGGGTTTCCAAAGTTGTCATTTTTACAAAAGCATATCACTCTGCCTTTCTACAGTGGCGCAGCTGGTGATGGTTGACGTTGTATCTATCAGGCAGGAGCCCAACACTTAACCACTGCACCGGCAGGGCTCATCTGGATATAAACGGGAAACCAGAATGCAGGAAAGGAACAATATCTAATATATTTTTGGGTGGAAGATCATTAAAATCAAATATACATATATCTTTTACAAAACAAGAAAACAAACACTCATCAATTTGTAAATTTAAAAACTAGAATTCCAGACCAGGAATCATGCTAACAAGAAATGTTACGCTATCTAAAACTCAGGTATAAACACATAGTTATAAAATTAAATGCAAATTAAATATTTCAAACAGGTAATGCCACAAAATAAATAAAAGTGCTTTTGTTTTATTTTATGCTGAGGTTAACAGTTTAATTGGCATCATATTTGAATGAGAATCACTAATATTCCACTCTGAAATATCAATTCAAGTCTACAGAGCAGTTCTTTTATTGGCATTTGTGTTTGCTTACACATCTTGCTCTTGTCAGGCTGTGGAATAAATTGTCCCAATAAGTACAAAAATGATCTCAATTGTTGGGTATTTTCAACTGCCATATTTCTATAGAGATAATAACTTCTGAAATGTGATTTAAGGAATATTTTGGGTGTACCAAACCAGAATTAGAGATTTTTTTTATGTCTTAAGGTCAAACAAAATCATAAATTCTAGTACTGATATCTTTAAACATCAATTTTTAATGCTAGAAACATACTTCTTCTAGATTGTTGCAAACACTTCTTTTGCTTAAGTGGTTTATGATAATTTTCAGAAAGCCTTGCACCAAAAATAGAACTTCTAGAATGTTAGAAATAGACTCACATATCAGAAAACCTGTCTCTAGTTTCTGTTAAATGGTTGAGGGATGGATATTTTTAAAGAATATTAAGCTGTCATTTGTTTATTCAATTACTGGATGTCTGCGTGGCACTGTAGGTCAACGTCCTGGACTGCAAAATCACTTTGAACCACCAGGTGGGGAGTTCCAGCTCACCAGCCTCTTCTTGGAAACCCTTTACATGATCCCTATGGTTCAAAACTAACTTGATGGCACTTAACAGTAACAATACGCTGGTCATTTCTAACAAAATGAGGGTAACTAAAAAGTATTGCTATAAAATCGTGGAAATCTTTATGAAACAAAAATATCAAAATGTGAAGCTATTGTTTCTTGACATCTCCTCTACCTAGGACAGGAGTGGGAAACATCCGGCCTGCAGGCCATATCAAAATCATTTGCTCTGGTCCTGCCAAAGCAACCACAGTTCCAGCCATCACATTGCTCGTGTTATTAAGTGTTGTCAAGTTGATACCAACCCACAGCGACCCTGTATAGGGTTTCTGAGGAACGACTGGTAAGCTTGAACCACCGAACTTGCAGTTCAAATGTCTTTGCAATCTGGTACATTAACCCACAGCGCCACACCAGGACTCTACATGAGGGGGTGAGTTAATTAAAATATAGCAAGCTAATATTTAAGTTAATAATTTTGATGGCCCATAAATAATGTTATAAATTATGGGGGGGGAAATGTTTTCCAGTCCTGATCTAGGACCATACACTTTTGAAGGCAGTGTTTCTATCTTTCCAACCATTCCCAAATAATTCTGCAATCTTTAATTTACACTTCATCACAATGGTCATTTGGACATCCTTGAGGGGCTCAAATCAGGATTTTTGCTATGTTCCTTGAGTTTGGGGAGTGAAAGGAAGTCTGAAAGAGCAAATACAGGTCTATAGAGACATGTCCAAATACATTTCATTTGTAATAAACCCATGCCGCCATGAATTAGAACCCTAGTAATAAACTCTGGTAGTGTAGTGGTTACAAATCAAGCTGCGAATCTCATGGTCAGCAGTTGAAAACTACCAACTGTTCTGTGGCAGAAAGATGAGGCTTTCTGCTCCCATAAAGACTTACAGCCTCAGAAACCCTGTACAGGCTCTTTATGAGTTGGAACCAACTCCACGGCACATAACAACAACAACAATAATTTGTGATGATCTCCTGTGAAGGCAACTCTCCAGGTTACCTGTCAAATTTTGAATGACCATGAGTAGTTCAACCATAAACTGTCCGAGCAAAAATTTTATCATTCTTTCTATAAGTGATTTCTGTCCTGCCAACACCATTTCAGAAAATAGCTACACATCAATAAATTGTTTTTATGTGGCCTTTCCAGCTATAGTCATGTAACTTCCACAAGATGATTGTCTGAGTCACATCTAGGTTGTTTTAACACATTCATTACTATTCAGATTAAGTGGCTTGTGATCTACCTAGGGGATTGGTCAGGTCATGATCCTGTTAGAAAGACAACATCATGAAATTAACTATGAGTTTGCATCTATTAGGGCTAATTCCAAGGAGGTTCAGAGGGACCTTAGTACCATCCAGAAGAATCTGGAGGGCAGCACATACTTTGGACATGTAGTCCTAGAGCAGACCACCTCCTGGACACAAAAAAGAGAGCTGTAACACTGAAGAAGGCACAAGAGGGCTAGAAACACTGGCAAACTCAGGAGAGCCTAGACACAGAGAAAGAGTAACAATATTAAAGCAACAGGAACCATGAGACCAGCTGTGACCTTGTGGGCCAGAGGGAGAGTTGAGTGACTTAGAGCAGGAGGCCAGCTGAGAGAACAGGCTGCATTTAGTCACTAGTCCATGGAGCTAAA